TTAGATTCAATCAAATTTATAGGGCAAGAACCCAATAATGAAAGCATGCTAGATATAATCTTTCTTTACAATTACTGATATGGGGGTTAGTAACCAGTACATTACCCTCTGAGGGATAGTTACTTCTTTTCTCCCAAATTTCGCTATGTAGTATTAATAATTAAAACAATGATTTGGTAATGGAACATTAGAGATGTCAATAGCATGACAATGCTGTTGTTCACTCAATGAAAAGCAATCAGTTATACAAAAAGGAGCAGGCCTTTGGGTCCAACAAAACCTGTAAAAGAGTTTGTCATTTGTGTTGTAGACTAGCAGCAAAAAGGTTTTGTTTTTGGGAATCTATTTCTAGCCTTTTATGTACTACTCTGGAACCATTTCAGTGTTACAAGGAGTAGGTCAGCGATGGCCAACCTTTTCCGGACCGAGTGTCCAAAGTGCAGCTGAACCCCTAAAATGCAATATGTGTGTGGCCCTCATGCATGCACAGCGGCGGCCCGTGCATGCACGCATGGCCCCCACACACACCCCACCCCCTGCACACATGTGCCATATGTTTGCCATCACGGGAGTAGGTATATAAAAGACCCCTCTCAGTGAATCAAATCATCATCCATTATCACTCCATACAGCTACTAAGTACTAGATATATAGATTTATATTTCATTTCATGATTTACATATATTTAATTACAAGAAGTTAAAAAGGGGTCACTTGGAAGCACCATAGGGCGTTAGCAGTTATACCAGTATATTAGCCTTGCTAATCTGGAATACTGGGATTGGAGAAATCAAAGCAAGGAGACAGAATGATTGACCCAATACCTTCTCTTTAATGGACAGTGTGGGACTATTAGAAATGAAAACTCCACTTTTCTTTTATCACCCAGAAGGTGATGGTAGCTAGCTAATATTGGGCATATTTCAAAAATAGAGTCATACCTGCCTACTTATCGAATAAGAGACTACTAATAAATCCCAGAGGTGTAGGGTACACTGAGAAACTCAAAGAAGTTTCTCTCTAATATCTCTAACATCTCCAAGAAAACTGCATAGCATGGAGTCACCAGGAGTCAAATCAAGTTCCAACCAAACTTTGCTTTTTGCTTTTCTTTAAGAAACTGAATGCACTATATGTGTATCCATCAAGTAAAGTGAGAGAAGTGTTTGCTAAGGAGGTTTAAGAGGCCCATTTGTTTACATTTTTAATGCCAGTCTTTTACACCAAATAATTAATGTGAATGAATGAGAATCAAATTGCTTCTGCATAGCTTGGATTCTCCCTCTTTGGATACATGTATGATACCCTTGTTCATGTCAAATTAGTCATAGCTTCACAAGGAAAAGCCTACTAAAAAGAAATTATGTTATGTATGAACATAACGTATAAGCATATAAGTATAAACAAGTATAAGTACATACATATTAAATGAGTACGGATAAATGGGAACAGTAGGACAGGGACGGTAGGCCCGCTGGTGCGCTTATGCATGCCCCCTTACAGATCTCTTAGGAATGGAGTGAGGTCCACAGTAGACAGTTTAAGGTTAAAGTTTTTGGGGGTTTGAGAATGTAACAATAGAGTCAGGTAGTGAGTTCCAGGCATTGACCACTCTGTTGCTGAAGTCGTATTTTCTGCAATCAAGTTTGGAGCGGTTTACTTTGAGTTTGTATTATTGTTTGCCTGTGTATTATTGCAGTTGAAGCTGAAGATCATAGTTGGCTTTTTTAAAGTTATAATTTGGAATCCCGTCACTATGACCTTCTTTGCAGGGACGTAAATTGAGAAGTCAGTCATGCTGTGGTCACTGTTAGAAAAAGGTTCCTTTGTTTGTAATCCATAAATTATGTTTAAACTGTTGCAGAAGATGAGATCAAGGCAGTTGTTGAGTCTAGTGTTGTTTTTTACTAATTGATCCAGTCCCAGAGTAGTAACGGTATTGTACAGCGTTGCATGTATAGGTTCAGTTGTACATTCATTTAGGATCCAATTAATTAGAAGTAGATCTGGTGCTTTGGAGAATAGATTCTCCTCCTTCTCTGTGCAGCCCCTCAACTATTGGAAGACAACAATGGCGCCCACTCCCCCAATCCTTTCGTTGATAGGCTAGACATACCTAACTCATCCATTCATTATATGATTCAGCCTCCGGACTCTTTATCATCTATATTGATCTTCTCGACACACTTTCAGCATCTTTTTTGTGTCACGCTAACCAGAACTGCAGTATTCCAAGTGTAGCCTCACTAATGCAGTATAAAACAGTATTATCACTTCCTGTGTTTGTGATGCTATCCCTCTGTTGATGCATCTTAGGACTACATTGGCTGTTTTGGCAGCTGCAGCACATTGATGGCTCATACATAAGTGGTGGTCCACTAGGACACTTAGATCTTCTCTCACTTACTATGAGTTTAGAAAACTAGCATTCTAGGGAGAACACTAAACTGCAATCCTTTCACTAGATTTGGGGGTTTTCTAAATTCAAGTGGTTTTTGATAAGAGGAAATATATAAATTGATCAATTTTATTTGTATTTCATCACAATCAAAGCAGAGGCTTGGTGGTTCACATACATCAATAAAATAGATATATTTAAAGTTTTTTTCTAGAAATTTCTGGATCACCTATTCCAAATTTCTGCTATGTGTTTAAACATAATAATTTCCCCAAGTATCTGCTACTATGCTTTACCTATTTACCTAAAATCAAGTACCTGTAAATTAGAAGTACTGCCCTTCTGAATAACAGAATAACAGTTGGAGGGGATCTTGGCGGTCTTCTAGTCCAACTTCCTGCTCAAGCAGGAAACCTTCTGCGATTTATTTATTTATTTATTTATTTATTTATTTATTGGTTCGATTTATATGCCGCCCTTCTCCGGAGACTCAGGGCGGCTTACAATGCGTTAAGCAATAGCCTTCATACCTGCTTAGTAGGGCTTTTGCCTCCCCCTAAGCGGTGTGCTTTTTTATACAAAGTCAGCTTATTGACCCCACAATCCAGGTCCTCATTTTATCTACCTCAAAAGGATGGAAGGCTGAGTCAACCTTCAGACAAGTGGTTGTCCAATCTCTTCTTAAAAACCTCCAGTGTTGGAGCACCCACAATTTCTGAAAGCAAGTTGTTCCACAACTCTTTCTGTCTTCCTTCTATCCTTTATTGCCAATTGTTTTTTTTGGACCATGATTTCTCACAATTAGAATATTGTGAATTTATTGGTGATATATATTATAGCTAGTGTGTTTTATTTTATTTCACAAAGCTAAAGCCAATTCAGAATGAGAACAACTCTTCCCATCCTCATTCTGGATTGGCTATATGCCATCATGTTGTTTCATATACAACGAAATAATAGGAAGGAGACCTGAGGGAGACCGCCAACCACTCCAAGTGCAGGCATACAGGGGCCAACATGAGGAGGGAGGAGCAGCGCTGAACGAGCCACCCTGATTCAGGGGAAAATTCAATGGGGACTCAGATCAGCTGGCTCTATTCCTTGACTTGACTGAGGTCCACCTAGAGGACTACGGACACCTCTACCCATCCCACAGAGCCATGGTGAATACCACTGCTGAGAGGCTAGAGGGAGAAGCAGCCCTCCACAAGAGGAGACCCCCCCACAAGAGGAGAGCCCCCAGCTGCAAGACATTGATGACTTCCTATAACAGCTAGAAGCCAGATTTGAGGAGGCGGAGAAGGATCCATATGCGGAGGATGAGCTCCAAAACCTAAAGCAAAGAGGGTGACCCATTAAGGAACACATCCGTGAGTTCAGGAGAGTCATGGGGAAGCTACCCCCTTTGCCGGACTGGCTGTTAGTTCATTTATTCAGAACAAGCCTGGATAAGCAAATTGCCCAAGTAACCACCTATTGGGACATCCCGAACTGACTCTCTGAGTGGTTCCGAGGAGCCATAAAAGTCAATGGTGGATTGCGCACCAATGACATTAGAAAGCAACTGGACACCAAGGAGAGGGGACAACTAGACTGGAGATCATCTGGTGGATGGGAAGCCACAGCACCACAGCTGGCCCCAAAACCAACTCTCCCAAGAAGCCAGCTGAAATGCTACAGATGCGGAGGAATAGGCCACATGGCATCTGTGTGCACGATCCCAGCCCCAAAGCCAAAGTCAGAGCCACCACCCATGGCACAACTGGAACGAGGCCCAAGGCATGTTGCTGACACATTCTGAAAAGCCCTCCAGGCCATAGAGATCCCTCCCCACGTAGCTGAAGGGGGGGGGACTCCAGCCAACGATGACAAGTCATTGGATTCCTATGACAGTGAGGACGAAGGCAAAAATGACTCAATGGTGTGTGAACCGATCCATTCTTTCATCTTCCCAATACACCTCACAGCCCCAAAAACAGGAACCCAGGGGACTTTTCAAGCCCTAATAGACTCAGGCTGCACTAGATGCTTGATCAACCTAACCATGGTCCTGAAACTGGAGATTAGAGTGAAAAGACTGGCCCACCTGAGCAGGTTCGAACAGGTTGATGGGCCTATTGGCGGGGACCTATGTCAGCCACCTGATCGAACCAGTGAAGCTAGAGCTAGTGAATCACTGGGAAGCAATTCGATTCGTAGCTCACAAAATGACAGACGCGGTCATACTGGGGCTCTCCTAGACAAGTGGGGCCCGACCATCTGGTAGCAAGGGGGCAACCGGAGGCTGAGGATAGCAAGAGGACCCCAACCCCCTTCACACCAGCAAATAGAAGCATCACCCATGCAGGGAACCCTCCCAAAGGGCCCACCAGAACAACTGGCAGACACCTCCGACAAAACCCCAGAGGCCAAACAGATCCTCAGAGAATATCAGGACCACGTGGAAGTGTTTAGCAAGGCCAAGTGCAATGTCCTACCCCCCACTGCAAGACATACTATGCCATTGAAATCATCCCTAGGGCAAAACTACCCAAACCCAAACTGTACACCATGATGCCCCGGGAAATGCAAGAAATGCACAAATACATAAACAAAAGCCATAGACATAGCAAGGGGGTTCATCGAGCCAGCCAAGCCACGGGTCGCAGCCCCAGTCCTGTTCAAAGAAAAAAAAAGATAGAACTATGAAATTATGCATTGACTTTAGAGGTATAAACTGCATGATGTACACAACCTATACCCCCTCCCTTCTCATGAAGGACATGCTATCTCACCTAGCCAAGGGAAAAGTCTACCAAATTAGAGTTCAGAGAAGTATACTACCGAGTCCGGATCAGGGAGGGGGATGAATGGAAAACAGCATTCAACTGCCCCCTAGGGAGCTTCCAATTCAAAGTGATGCCTTTTGGACTGAAGGGGCCCCGGTGGTGTTCATGCAGTTAATAAACGAGGTGCTGCATGAGCACCTCTATAAGGGGGTCCTTGTCTACTTGGGCGACATCCTCATCTACACTGAGACCAGAAACGACCACATACTCCTAGTCTGCCAGTTACTGAAAAAACTTGTGGCAGCAAACCTGAATGTCAAGCTGCCAAAATGTGAATTTTCACCATGAACAGCTAGACTACCTGGGCTACCAAGTGTCAAATGACGGCATAGAAATGGACCCAGCCAAAGTACAACCCATCCTGGGCTGGCAGCTCCCTTGCACCCCCAGACAGTTACAAAGCTTCCTAGGACTTGCAAATTTCTACAGGCAATTCATCCCCTCCTTCACGAAGATTGCCAAACCCATGACAGATCTCCTAAAACAGGGGGCCCTGGGATGAAGCCCTGCCTGGGACAGCCCCTAAAGTGGGACCTAACTCAAGCTCCAATACCTAATCAAATGGAAGGGCTACCCCTTATCAGAGGCATCTTGGGTAAAGAGTAGAAACATCCAGGCCGACCACCTTATAGCTAAATTCCACGCAGACAACCCAAACAAGCCTGGGGGAGAATTGTAACCCTAAAATCTATACCTGTACTCAAACTGTCTTTGCTTTGCACAGGTTGCCTTCAGGAAGTGAGGGGAGCTGAATGTCAACTTGCAAAGCATCCCTGGCCTGCTCTCGAGTTGCCATAGGCAAGGGGGATGGGAAAATGAATTTTGCAGCTGCAGCAAGGAAGCATTTCCGTCAAAACAAAAGCACATTCCAGTCTCTGTCAAGGCCATCTCTACAGCTATCCACAGTGGCTGGAGGGGAGTGATCTCTACAACCCGTGAAATTGCTTCGTTGGAGAATGTGACTGATGACACACCTTGGGGGGGAGGGTGGAAACATGGTCAGAGCCAGGATGTAAATTAAGTGGAGTCAGAGTTGGCTTCACATGGAACGTGCTGACATGACGCTCCTAATAAATAACTGGATTTCTTTTGAAGCTTGGCTCGAGGCTCATGATTTAATTAGGGCATTGGTCGAACCCTGACAGTGCTTTCATTCTGAAAGGGTGACATAAATGGAACTGAATTATCCTTCAGTTTAAATTCACATTCTCTTTATTAAAACACTTGACAAAAGAAATGAAGGAACAATAGCAATTGCCACTTCAGATCAGTGTTAATATTTATGTCTCTGAAAGTCCTAAAATGTGAGTATTTATTTTATTAGGACAGATAAGTGTTTTTTTTATCATAGACAATTTGTGTTTTATAGAGATAATACAACAATTTCATGAAACTGTTTTTCAGTGTTCCACTCTCATCTTCATTAAGTCTGCCACTGATATTTCACAGCTTAATATTATCCATTTTTGTCTGCAAATCTATCTCATTATTACTTGGCAATACTTGATTTGATTTGAATCTTATTGCTTTTTTCCAATTATTGTTTTATTATCTATTATAAACTCAAAATGTCCTTTATGGAGGGATATCAATTGACTAAATGAATTTATATTTTCATGACAATACAAAATTCAGTATATTTTGTTTGATTTCACCAGTCCTGTTCATATAGTTTACATTTATCTCTAATACTTATATTTAGAATATTTAGAATTATTGTCCCAAGTTTCTTCAATCATCTATTTACTTTATTCACTACCCTTCTAAAGATCATTCAGAAGAAAAAAAATATATAATTCCAGTGCATTTCAGTAGGTTATCTTTGCAGTTTGCTTATATCTAATAATTAATCATTTCTTTATTTCATTAATAAAAAAAAACAATTGTGGCACTAATCAAGCACTAAAAAAGGCTATTGACATTTTAAAGGTCCTTTGTGGTTTTAAGAAAATGCTTCTGTGCTTAAATAGCAAATTATTTTGCTACTTAAAATCAAAAGGAAAACAAAAACTCCCGGCCCCCAGGGGGGCAATAGAAGCAGATCTTGTAACATCTTGGAGTTGTTCAAGAATCAATATACTAATGTAGGCTTGCACAGACAGTATCTGCTGGGGAGTGTTGGGCTTCAGAGTTAATGACCACATTCTAGAAAAGAGATTTCCTGATGTTTCCTTCAGCTTTTCCAACAGCATCCCTATGGCCCCTGTGGCTTGTAAAGCATGATCTATCTACCTTGCTGCTAGGTTGTCCTCCTCTTCTCTTTCCTTCCATCTTTTCCAGGATTTGAGTCTTGGCCAGACAATCAGGATGCCATCTAGATCAGGGTGGTTTACATTGTTCAGATGAGCAACCTTTTTTGTGGCCAGATATTTAAGGGCCACAGGGGATACGGCTGGGGAATCATGACATATTTGGATTATTTGGGCCATTATTTTGATTTCTTGGAATTTGAGGTGGCTTAGATGTATGTTAAGGGTAGAAATGGAGCAGTGGTGGAATTCAAATTATTTTACTACCAGTTCTGTGGGCATGGATTCATGGGCATGGTGTGGCTTTGTGGGGTGGCTTTGTGGGTGTGGCAGGGGAAGGATACTGCAAAATCTCCATTCCCACCCCACTCTGGGGCCAGCCAGAGGTGGTAGTTGCTGGTTCTCTGAACTACTCAAAATTTCCACTACCGGTTCTCCAGAACCTGTCAGAACCTGCTGAATAGCACCCCTGAAATGGAGGCCTTGGACTTTGGAAAGTCCTAGGTTTTAGGTTCTTAAATCCCTCCTTAAATATGGGCTGAAGCAGTCAATCTTGCCATAGAGATGTTCTGGTGGCTACAGATAAGATTTAGGGGACTTCATACAAACTCAGATTGCTCATCTGTGCAGGCATAGGAAAGAGCTCTGCATGCTTTCACACAAAAGCCTTCTGTAGTCTACAGGATATAGTACAATACAGAGCTGTGGTGGCACAGTGGTTAGAATGCAGTATTGCAGGCTAACTCTGCCCACTGCTAGGTGTTCGATCTTGATTGGCTCAAGGTAGACTCAACCTTCCATCCTTCATTTTATCTGTTGGTAAAATGAGGACCCAGATTGTTGGGGACAATATGCTGACTCTGTAAACTGCTTAGAGAGGGCTGTAAAACACTATGAAGTGGTAATAAGTCTAATAAGTGCTATTGCTATTGCTATTAGAGTTATTTGAAAAATGCTGTACCATTAACCTTAAGAATACAATAACTGGACTTGTGAAGATCCACACACAACGGATGATATTTGTTTACTACCATTTAATGGTTGGCCTGGATTTTTGCAAGTCGGATACAATAACTCTAATTAAGCTATGGCATCTCATTGTCATGAAAAGGCTACTGAGATACAACATACTCCTTACGATAGGTGGAAACACAATGTAAGTTGCCAACAATCTTTTGGTTAAAAGAAAAATATGATTGCACATCAAAACTATATTTAATCAAAAGTAAATTGTTTTGTGGTGGTATTTTTCAACTGACTCAAATGACATTAATCATTCTCCCAATGGATCAGGTGTGTACAGTGAAAAAAGTACAAACATAGACTTGTTTGTGAATTATACAAGTAACATTAGCATAAATTTGATAACAGAGGCACATGGGTATTTGAAATGATAAATAAAAAGTGCTCCTTAATATATCATAACCTACACAAAGTAGTACACTCTACCTTTGACTATACAGCATCATTATTCATTTAGAGATGCTGCCATGTTATTAAACAGGGTAAATTACAACTCTACCTGGCACACAAGAGTACCTCTGGTAATAGTTTAATTTAATTTATATCTTGCTTTCTGCCCAAAGTGGGTGATCATAAAATACCAACTGTTGAAAACAGTTTTTCTTTCTATAACTCACTTGGGGGGGGGGGCAAATAGTTACAAGACATAACCAATTCAAAGAAATGACATAAATCCACTATTGCAATCTAAACTAGCCTTAATCAGCCTTGTGTCTTTAAGAAATGTTAGGTTATAACACTCATCATCCCCAGGGCAAATCACCATGCTGGCAAGATAGGATATAGTTGTACACTAATATTTGTAGAGAGCTCTAGGGGGGGATTAACTAACACCCAAAGCAATATTAATAAGAGGAAACAAAAGTAAACCCCAACTAAGTCTTTGCTACTAGAAAATAAGTCTTGCTGCATTCTCACAATGAATTGAAGTAGGTGTTTGCGATATACTTAGATGTTACATTGATGATCCTGAGGTAAGCCTCCTTCCTCAGCTTGTCTTCCCTACCAAATACTAGTGCCAAGATACCAGCCCTTTATGTAACAAAGCTTCTTTGGTCACATATATTTTCAGGAGATAATGCCAAAGATAGTGTAACATCAATGGCATTTATTTACCACTTCTGATAAAACGCTTTTCTGACCATTCACTTTTCTACTCTTCTGTGCCATGTGCAACTATTAAACAGCCTGTTGCACATTCTTGATAGAGGTTTGGGCAGGGGGTGTCTTGGTTATAAATCACTTGGATTATAATACTTTTTTTTCCCTATAACTTCTGTTTCTGGAATCTGAAAAGTAAAATGGATGGGACATCTACTTGCAGAACTTCCGAATTTGAAAAGACCAGGGGCACATACGTAGAGGGGTTGGGAAAGACAGATATGCTTTCCAAATATCACCTTTTTTCTTGTTAGTAAGAATGTATTATCTTCTATACATGCTATCACCTCCTCTTACTGCTCAGATTTATTGGATGAGGCATGGTGCATTACCACTCTCAGGGAGTCTGTGAATCTTCTTTTCTATGCTGTTTAATGATACACAGTGCCTATATCCCATAGCATTAAAAATGCAATTGCTTTTAGTTGTTGCAGTTGTTAGAAATCTAATTCAATAGTTTATGGTCTGTTGTTCAGTCTGACATATTTATTTATAGCATACACTACCCTTTTAATTATCTGGAAAGAACTGTGTTTTCATAGGACTCATGGGTGTTTAATGTAAAGCCCCTTAATATTGGCTTTTCACTGGCACACAACAATTAATTTTATCTTTATGGACCAATTAGAGTTAATGGATGGGAGAATGTATTTAAGAGGCATGGTCTGTTTTGCCAGGACCATTCTTAAAGAGCTAATAAAAGGACCCTTTCAGTTGAGTAATTGGTTGGATTAATTGGTATCTCTTCCAAGGCCTAATGTAAGCACAGTCAGATGTATCACCACCAAACACCTTTCATTAAACCATCTGATCACATACAAAAGTTCTATCAGTTTTGATTGAGGTTGTGTTGTAGGCATTGTCCACATATGGAACATTGCCCAAGGAGAACCATTGTTTCTTTTCATCCCTTATGTCATTTGCTCATTTTAAGGGGAATTGTCTGTCGGTGCAGAAATTGTTCCTATCTCATGATTTAGACTTTGTTAGCATTATCGAATCCCCTGCTTCACTATTCTTTCTGTTTCAGTTTGGTTCTTGCTTTGTCTTTGGTAATGTAGAGAATATGTTTCAGTATGTACTGGATAGAATTACCTGATTGAAATGACAACACCTCTTAATCATTTATAGTGGCTACCATGATTCTAGTCTGCATTCATAAAAAATGAAGTGTCCTGGCTGTGAAAAGACATTTTGCTTTACACAAAACTCAAGCCTGGAGACAGCTGTGTTAGTTCTGAGCATGACCCAGGGGTAAAATCCAGCAGGTTCTGACAGGTTCTGGAGAATCAGTAGCGGAAAGTTTGAGTAGTTCAGAGAACCGGCAAATACCACCTCTGGCTGGTCCCAGAGTGGGGTTGGAATGGGGAATTTGCAGTATCCTTCCCCTGGAGTGGGGTGGGAATGGAGATTTTGCAGTATCCTTCCCCTGCCTTGCCCACCAAGCTACGCCCACATAACTGGTAGTAAAAAAAAATTTGAATTTCACCACTGGCATTGACCTATCCATTAGGAATAGGCATAAGAAGCTTGTCAGAGGGTTGGGAATACCCTTTACCCTATGAAAAATAATGGAAGGGATTAATTTGGAGTAAAGGTGATACAATAGTCATTTCAGTTCCACAGAACCATCCCACAGATCCCAACTCTCTGCAGATGTGTTCAACTATATGGCGATTCTTCCTGAGCATTCTGGAAATTATCCTCCACCTTATGCAAGGAGGCATCTGATAAGGGAAGGTTTAATCTATTCCATAGAGCAGGGGTCTCCAACCTTAGCAATTTTAAGACTTGTGAACTTCAACTCCCAGTGTTCTCTGGCAGTTGAAGTCCACAAGTCTTAAAGTTGCCAAGGTTGGAGACCCCTGCCATAGAGCACTGCTGTTTTTTTTTATTATTCCAAATAACAGGACAGAAAGCAGTGTTACTGATAGAAGAGATTATTTGTAGCTCAGGATTGGACTGTGGGGTCCTTGGTGTTCTCTAAATGGATGCAAGTCCTTTCAGGTGCAGAGTTCTCTGAACACCAAGCTCAGAGCACACCAAGAACTTCACAGGATGCAGTGTGCTCAAACTTCAAGAAAAAAAGATTGGATTTAAATTAAATTACCCGATAGTAATTGTGGTTTCCTAGTGGATTAGATCAGGGGTCCCGACCGCTGGTCCAACTTGTTGACACAGAAACTTGTGCCAAGAAGCAAAGCCCCATCTGTGGGATGCAGGCAGCATTTATTTTAAAGAGAGGCTGAACACCATTTTATTAATCTGTGTTCACTCTAGTAATAGTAATAGTTTTTGTGTGTGTGTGTATGTGTGTGTGTGTGTTGTGTGTGTGTGTGTGTGTGTGTGTATGTATGTGTATATGTATATGTATATGTATATGTATATGTATATGTATATGTATGGACCAGATTCTCTTTGAAATGTTTTCCACATATATAGTTGATTCTTCTTTCATCAAACACAATTCTAATTATCCCTCCTTATCAAGAAACACATATTCCATGAAGTTGCAAATGAATATGTTCATTGTTAAGGAATTGATAATGGTGGTTCTACCTACACACCATGGACTAGATGTATCGTTATAGAGTAAATGGATGCAAGTCCTTTCAGGTGTAGAGTCTATGTCAATGTATAACAAAGTAGAAGTCTCTCAGGCAGACAACAGCAGTGTTAAAAAAAAGAGATGTTTCACCTATGCTTTCCCTTTATTTCATTTCTCTGCCCTTTTTTCCTCCCCAAAAAATGTAGTGGTCTGTAACAGAAGGTGCCCAAGACAGATGTTGGCAAGTAAATGGAAGAAATTAATAAAGCAGAAGTAGAGGTCATTAGCAATCCAGTTGATATTGATAGTCTAGCTTCCATCACTCTACACCAGGGGTGTCAAACTCAAGGCCCACTGGCCAAATGTGGCCCACAGGCTGCTTAGATCTGGCCCACAGGGCTGCCCTTGAAACAGCAAAGGACTGGCCCATGGTGCCTCTGCCAGCAAAAACAGAGTTCGGGAGGGCCATGTGTGGTGGCTCTTTTTGCTGGCAGAGGGCTGCAGGAGGCTATCTTAGTCAAAAATGGAGCCCGGGGGGGCCACGTGGGGCCCTCTGAGCTCCGTTTTTGCTGGTAGAGAGCTGGCAAAACAAATTACTGGCAAAAGTAGATCCCCCAGTCCTGCCCAGGCCACCATAGGTGCCCCTGCCACGAGTGACATTGAGCTGGCCACACCAGCTTGGCCACGCCTACCTGGCCACGCCTACCCAGCCACCCGAGGTCAAACACAACCCTGATGTGGCCCCCAATGAAATCGAGTTTGACACCCCCTGCTCTACACCTACATAGCTGATGATAGGTAATAATTATCATCAAAGAAGACCAGGTTCTCTTACTGTAACTGCAATGTTGTATCTTCCTTTAATTTGGAATACTTTCTTTAGTTTGGAATATTTTGCTTGGCCACATAATAGAATGTTTAAATTGCTGACAATGTATCATTCTTTTCGAGTATCCAAACTTGGTATTATTATTATATTTCATTATGACTATACAAAGCTGCTTTAAACTGTATGAGACGTTGGTTCATTTAAGTTGGAATTGTTCCTCCTGATTGGCAATGGTTATTCAAGGTCTCAAGTCATGGTCTTGACCACTATTGTAATTTGAGATTTTTAAATGAAGATGGCCAAGAATGAACTACATATACGGCATTGGCTCTAATGCTCAACAATTCCTTTTCATGGACTGTATACAAAGAAATCCCTCTTCTCTCCTATGGTTCTTTAGGCCAGCATGGAACTGATTATCCCTGAATTTTCTGTGAGCACTTTCCATGGAAAGTATGGACAAAGAGTCTGGCAACATACTCAAAATAAACTATAAACAACTTGATTCAAGTTACTTGATAGGGCCAAATTGCCAGAGATAAACAAGGAAAGAGTAATAATTTGGATACAAAGCTTATAAAAGAGAGAGAGAGAGAGAGAGAGAAAAGGGATTAAAAATAATTAAGACCATGTTTATAACCCCAGCCCAGTGTTATTGGTTCATATATGAAACCTTCCTTTCCTTTGCTTGATTCCAGGGATCTGAGTTGAATGACAAATTTGTTAACCAAATGCCAAAATAGTCTATCTTAAATAAAGTTTATACGCAACATTGGATATTCAAAGTCCATATCACTTGGCAGAATAAGGTTGATGTATGCTGCATTTATAAATCTTGCTGCTTCTTGGATTTTTTTAATGTCATGTTATAGAATATCACTTTTATATAATTCTCTTGAAAGGTTAAACATCCATCATGAAGCTGAAGTACTACATATTACCATAAGTGATACACACAGCAGAACATCAGGGAGTTTAGCAATGCACACTTCAGGATGGTTCTTACACTATTTCACATACTTTGGTTACATTGGCATATGCCTTTGTAAGAGATCTCTGAATGACCCCCTTTCATTCAGTTGTTTCTTCCCATGATGAACAGTGGAATTTGATTGTTGGGTTGGCACATAACAGCCTGGAAAAATCTGGAAATAATATTACCAAAACAATTATTCTTTTTATATTCTCCAACTCATTTGACTGTAAATTTATATCAACAAATTATTCAGTCCCCGCCAGGGAAAATTCCATGTTTTGTTCCACTCAGTATATAAACTGTATTATTCTTTGTGTTCAATCACTGGGATGAAGGCCCTGGAAACGGTTGCAGCATACTCAGTGTGAATAAACATACTATAAACAGGTCAGAGAAGGAAATGTACAGGAAATGTACTGAAATAAAGTATGCATTTTATTATTTAATTATTCTTAATATTTTTACCAATTGAGTTCCCACAAATTATATGCAGGATATAACAATATGAATGTGAAATAATAATATAACAAAACAGTAATAACATTCTGCCATGAATGACTCCACACAGTAAATCTATCTGTAGTGGACCATTGCATATGAACTACTCTACTGATTTTGAACATGTTAACATTTCCAGGTAATCTTTCAGAACAGATCCCTGTAGTTTATAGTTACTCAATTATGAGATGATAAGAGAATGAATGGCCATCTTCATGTAAAACAATAACTTTACACTTCTACCAGGAGATATGAAGCCAGAAGCCCCCTTCTGAATTAATAACCATTTTCTCTTGCTTGGGTTGAATCTGATTCTCTTTTTCCACATCCCATCCTGGCTCTAATGTAGGAGGTGACCAGGCTGAGCTCAAAGGTGGGGTCAAATGCATCATCAGTCTGGAGTCCCTACACTCCCCACCCTCACCCAAAGTCTGTTTATTTTTATCTGGCACAAATTTGCCTTGATCCTTAGTAGATCAGATTCTTGTGTATGGGTTGCATGGAATAAACTTTTGAACTCTATCCTGGTTCCTGGTTTCTTGTGCCTGAATTAAGCAGCCTCCAGCACTAGGTCAGGATACCTTCCACATTCCACCATTCAGACTGGGTGGAGATAAATACCTGACTATAATCTGCATATCGATGATATAACATTCCAGAATGAAAGATGACCTCTTCCAGTAACTTCATGTAGTTGTTAAACATGATTGAAGACAGGACAGAGATCTGAGGTATCTTGTAATAAACTGTCTTAAGTCCTGTCCTCTCCCACTGCCACAAGGTACTGGACTCACCCACTTAGGAAAGGGTAGAGTCATTGTGACATGGTGCCTTTGAGAGATACAGGACAGCAAGATCTTGGCTCCTCACATCTGAATTCCTCCATAAGAGTGACTAATATGGGCCCAGATAATCCATGTCCTCTAGAACTGTGCAATTGTCACTTTGCCACTATTTCAACAAACTCCCCACTCCACACAAAGGGGATGTTGGAGATGGAATAATAGATAGCTATTTCCAGTGGATCCAGAATAGCCTCTAGAATGGGATGTGTGTATGTGAACTAATGCCACTTTCAAACAAATGGAACTATCCCTTCTCTCAAAGTGTATTGACCACTGCCTGGATCCAATTTCCACTCTTCTCCCAGTACATCTAATCAACCATATGAGATCTAATCCACATGTGGCAATCTGACTTTACAGAGGATCCTGTCCACTTCCTTGAGATTCATAGGTTTAAAACTTTCCTATCACAAGATATCATTTCTATCATCTCATTCAGATGCCATCTACAGTATCCAGCTTCCACGTTGAAATAAATACGAGCAATTTCATCTATGAAATAATCAGCTGGACAATTTCAATTTATACTGGAAGAATCTTCCAGACCATCCTTCCCTAAAAGAATTCTGGATACTCTGAGTAGTACTGCTGACCATTATTCTTCAGACACAATAAAGCAGAAAAGTCATCCTATTCTTTTTATCATCATATAACAAGCTTGAATTTGAGCTCATCCCCGTGTCTGGTTGAACTCACTTCTTGTGTTCTGCTAACATCACTCCAGGTATATCTTTATTTAATTCATCTCCTGAAGGCTTACAAAAATTCAAGGAACCATCTGGGATTGCCAAGAGATGAGTGATTACTCAGTAATAGTCCTATCTAGTGCCCTAGCTGCTGCTTAATAAGTATAAACCAACAGAGGTAATATTTCTTCTTCCATCTTTTCCCCACAGTAGCAGCTACGGGAAAAAATGATTGCTCACTTCCACAGCCGAAGAACTTAAAGCATATATTGAGGAAACTGATGCTGAAAGAAATGAGGTTGGATTCAGGCAGTGGTGAACCACTCTTTGAAAGGAGGGATAGTCCATTTGCTTTGAATGTGGCATTGGTTCATCCTCTATTCTAGAGGCATCATAGAAATGCTATATTGAAATTCATGCTTTTAGAAAGTTCATGTTTAAAAAAGGCGTATCTGGAAAATGTGTGTTTAAAATAGTTTACATTAGAAAAGTGTCTTACATAAGTTACAGGTAATATATACAAACCGAAACATTATTTTTTCTGCAGAGAATATAAATAGAGCAATAGGAAATTAGATTTGTGAAAATCAGCACTACCAATATGGACTGGATGTGAATTGGATCACATATGGCTATTTCTTGCCATCTTATTTACCCATATGGTAGCTAAATTGTGAAGCAAATTACCCTGAGAAAGAATGGATGGATAAAGGTTATCCAGTGTCCTTGATAGTTAGGTGAGTATTGAAATTTGGGTCTCATCAGTCCTCTAACCACAGCATCATACTGGCTCTAAGCCAGCTCTTTCTCTTCGGCTTAGTCTGCAACAAGGCAATAAGCATGGTATTTCCCATAGGGATACTGTGAGAGAAAAAGCCTGATTACAGAAAAACTGCTGTATAAGCTAAAAAGCATCAACATTGGGCATTGTTCTTGCTTTGAAGGAAATGTCTATCAAACGTAACCTCTGTTACTGAACTGCAAGCTAAGGATTTCTTGTTTCCTTTGCTAATTCACACACAGTTAAAGATCCTATTCCTGTATCCCAGGTATTATTTTCCATATTTTGCTGGTGTTTGATCTCTCCTATTCATGGTTGAATAGAAAATGAAATCAATAGTTCTGCAATTAGGATTGACATTAGTCCTTCGATACGGTTTACCCTTATAGATGTGTCATGCCGTTTTCATGCTGATTTATTTATTACTTGAATACAGGATATCCTTTAATTAAAAAATAGGTTAACCACAACCCAATGGGGCATGGATCTCTTAACTATAAATTATGAACTTGGTATGTTAACCCATGGTTTTAATCCTTAAATAATATGTGCCATATGGATAATACAGGATGTACATTAAGAGCACATACTTTCCCATGACAAAGCCAGGCATAATGGTTTCACCAAGAGAGAGAGAGAGAGAGAGAGAGGGGGGGGGGGGGGGGGGGGGGAGGGAGGGAGGAAGGGAGGGGAAGAGAGAGGGAGAGAGAAAGATGATATAGATACATATATAGATAGATATAGATGTAGATAGATATATATGTAAATAGATATATACATACATACAAACATGCATACATACACACACGTGAGAGTGTGTGTTCCATGTGATGTGTAACAATATTGAATATTTCCTTGTTTGTCATATATGTATATGTCCATATGTATATGTGATAAACAATGAAATATTCAAAATTTGTTTACTACACATCATATGGGACACATGCCTTTCAATATAGAAAGTTACCTAATATAGAGGAAAAAATAATGTGCCCATTTTTATTATGGAACAAATTCAGGACCATTTTTTATACAACAAGGACTTGTAGTCTTTTCAGACAGAGAATTACATCCAACCACTGAATGTCATCCTGGAAGCTGCTTTCTTACCAATAGGGACATCCAGGTCAAAGAAGTGGATGGGCCAGAAATTCACATCTCTGTAATATTAAGATTAATATTAACCTGAGATTGTTGTCATTATTTATCTAAAAGATGAATGTGATAACAGATAACACCAAAGGTTTATAGAAAATCTTGTGGAGAAAATGGGTCAAAAGCCAGAGCTTTCTAATGAACTGTGCGGAGAGTGATCAGAGAATGATAAATATTTGAGGGAAAAAGAGTGATTGAATGCTCAACTTTGAATGTTCCGCTCTACATTTTACTTTGCAATTTGTACCTCCGACCATTAGGTGTGCACTAGAAACAAGCATTTAGACTTTAGAGCTAAGGCCAATTGCCTTTCCCTGCAACAAAGATAATTTTGTGTGGTGATGAAGGTGCTGGCTTAGATATCAGAAAATGGTGAGTTCTAGGCCTCCTTTAGGTACGACAGCTGGCTGGGTGATTTTGGGCCAATCCCTTTCTCTTAGCCCACCCCCTGCCACAGGATTATTGTAATGGGGAAAACAGGAGGCAGGAAAATTAAGTAAGTTTGCTATGTTCAGTTATAAATAAAAAGGTAGGATCAAAATGTAAATAACATGTTTCTGTATTTTTAAATATAAAAAACAAGGTACAGTAGTACCTTGGTACTCGTCATTAATTGGGTTCAGGAGGTGCAGCAAGTACTAAAATTGAAGAGTACCAAACAAACCATGTGACTTACCACACGACCCATGGCTAGAAAGGAATTCCTGTCTGTCCCTTTTCCTATATTAGTGACCTTTCTAGCATGGCCGACTTCCCAACGGGCTCGCAATTTGGGTGTCCACCTAGACTCACACTAAGATTAGAGCAACATCTGACAGCTATGGCTATGGGGACCTTTGCACAGGTTCGCCTGGTGCACCAATTGCGACCCTACTTGGATTAGGAGGCTCTCCTCATAGTCACTCATGCCCTTGTCACCTCACGGTTAGATTATTGCAACATGCTCTACTCGGGGCTACTCTTGAAAAGTGTTCGGAGATTACAGTTGGTCCAGAACGCAGCCGCGCGAGCTGTTGTGGGTGCACCTAGATACACCCACATTACACCAATTCTCCCCGAGCTGCACTGGCTCCCTCTTGGTCTCCGGTCACAATTCAAGGTTGTGCCCTACCTTTAAAGCCCTACATGGCTCAAGGCCAGGTTATCTTTGAGACCGCCTTCTGCCGCATAGCTCCCAGTGACCGGTAAGATGCCACAGAGTTGGTCTCCTCCAGGTCCCGTCAGCTAAACAATGCCGGCTGGTGGGCCCGCGGCAGAGGGCCTTCTCTGTGGCTGCCCCAGCTCTCTGGAACCAGTTACCTCCTGAGGTCCGGACCATGCCCACCCTATTGGCCTTCCAAAAAGTGGTGAAGACCTGGCTTTTCCAGCAGGCCTAGGGCCGTTGATCTCGGTCTTGTGATCTGGTGAGATCCGGCCATGAATGGCGTGAATGAGTTTTTAATGTTTTTAATTTTTAAATGTTTTTTATAATGATTTTTTAAAATGTATTGTGAGCCCTGAGTCTTCGGAGAGGGGTGGCATATAAATTGAATTAATTAAATTAAATTAAATTAAATTCCTGGTTGCTCCATGCGGCCATCCCCTGCTTCCTTTTGCAATGACTTTCCCAACATGGCCGACTTCTTGTTCATTCCCCCTTCTTCCTATCACAGTGGCATTGAGTACCAAACAAACAAGTACCAGGACCAAATGTTTGTGTCAAAATACATCGAACACTAAATTCAACAAGTTTTGAAGCAGTTGAGTACCAAGGTACCACTGTACATATGCAGTATGTATCTTATGCATATATGAAATAGTATGTTATAAAGTTGCCTTAATTTAACAATCAGTTCAACATATCAGTCCATTGATAACGCTTCACCAAAAATACATTCTCACTAATTTAGCCATAGAAAATTAAAAATAGAAATCTATCTGAAGCAGCAGAGTAGGCTATGATAAGGTAAATAATGATCTTTTCAGCTGTTTACTGGCATGTTTCCCAGCAGTTGCAAAAAAAAAAAAAAACCTTCTCCATTTTCTCACCCTCTTTCAGCCTTCTGCCAACTAAACTATTCTCCAAAGCCTTTGAATTAGTTGAAATAATTGCAAAGAAATCTGTTGATAAGGAAGCCATTGAGAAAAATAATTGCACTAAAATGTGATTTGCGTGACTGATTAGTTTCCAAACTGGAATCTGTTCTCCCAGTTTTTCCCAACCAAGAGAAAAGCATCCAGAATTATCAAGGGTCAGGACTAGTTTTCCAGTTAGCGAAGGCTATACTATTTGGGACTGTTTACATGAAGAAAAGGGCAAAGGACTCACTATCT